ATCTGTTTCAAAGAATATCATACTTTGAGTGCTTTCTGATCTTCAGTTTTGATAAAGTTGACAAAAATAAATCACTTTCGAAAAGTTAAAATAATCTCTATGTTTAATTTTTTTCTTAAAATAAGCCGGTCCTCAAAGGGTTAAAAGAAATTTTTCAAAATGGAAATTCCAATCTGTTGTTACAACATTTAGAATACGTACAACACTAAGATCAGCTGACATTGTTCTCGCGCAAATGCGAACTAGACTCACTACGTTAAATTATGACTTGTATCATCGTCATTTATTGGAGTATTTATCTGACGATGATTTGAAAAAGACAGATAAGTGTGCATGTGATGCAAAGGAAACTATATATCATTACCTATTACTTTGTCCTATCTATAATACCGCTCGTCTAATACTATTTGAAGCTATTACTACAGCGAATTTGCCTGTTCCTATTACACTCGATCTACTTTTACTCAACGAGATACGATGTAGAGAACATTTCGAATTTGTATATCGATGCGTCTTAAACTATATCATCGAATCTAAACGTTTCAAAGTAAAATCATAAGGTCATTTCTGAAACATCTTCCACCAACATCTTAAAATTTTTTAGTTTTCTCTGTTTCGTTCTTATTGCTGACTTTGATGGCTTTTTTGTTTTTAACTATTTGATTACCTTATCTGTATCTATCTACATAATGGTTTGTCCGATTTAGTGCAGATATGGTGAAGTACTTTACTTAATAAATAGTTTATACCAAAAATCTCAAAATACTGAACAATTGATTTATCGTCGATTTCTTTAGCACTTCGCAAATTTTTTATAACTCAGCCATTTTTGGGTATGAGCTTTTCGTATCTGTAAGATTGAATGGAGAATCGAATGAAAACATAAGAAAGAGATCTTAAATTTTTTCATGTTTTGGCTTTTGTAGCAAGCTTCGAATTCGTGCAGTGTCTCTTAAGTCAACTAGTTTAACAATTTCTACTCCGGTAACTCACCTGAGTGGCTGTGTTCTCTTGTTCTTGCGGTGTACAACTAGTTTTTGGATGATCAGAATAGTCACGTTTTCCACGTATTTCTCGTTTTCTTTTATCATTAATTATCGTATATACGAGAAAAATTGTCGATGATGCTAAAATCGATGAAAAGCGTATCTTGATTTCCAGAATATGAGAGAAAATTCGTATTTCCTCCTTTTCTTATTAAAAGATGAATAGTGTATTGCAATCTTCACTTTTGTCACTCATCGCGCTGAGAGATATCCAGGTCATTTCGACCGGCAACTTCATTATCATATGTAATCAATGTTATACCCCATCTGACTGACGGTTCAGAAAAAAAGGTAAAAATCTATAACTTCCAGTCTTTTTTGAAAGTAAAATTCATAGATCTTAGTAAAATCGAGTAAAAAGTTCAGCAGTTTTTCTAATGAAAACTGCGTTTTTTCTCACCAAGGAGGAAGGCATGTTATTGAAAAATACTTGCGGTTCCCAATTATTCTCCATGACAGTTCTCAACATGTTGCTTTGATTATTTTCTATTCTTTGGAATTTCAATAATCAAATGAAAAACATTTGTTTCCTGCAGGTCTCCTCAGGAGTTTTTGAAAAGTTAAAAAACGTCTCGAAAGTATCTAAATAGATACAATTCCCTCTGTTGATAATGACTGCAATCTCAGCATTTTACGGAAACGCCTTATTCGCAAAACTAGCTTTTTAAAAATGGTCCTTTTTCACAACATCCGCTCTATGAAAGTCACACTCTCTCTGTCAGAAAAGATCAATTCACATCAGCTCTCATCTAGATGCGTCGAGCAAAGTTAGCTCTGTTTAAATCAAATGCTAAAGTTTGAAGAAAATTTGTTAGTGAATTACAAAAATTTTCACTTAATAACTTGAGCAATAAAAATGAAAAATGTGTTAGAAGTATCTAGCAGAGGAAAGAACTTCTTTGAATAATGATAGAGTTGGGCAACCTGAACACGAATGACTTCAAAGAACACTATATCACTAGTCGTAATATTTCAGACTTTTCCCCAGGATACAAGTATAAACTTCCTACAAATAGAATATTACGTTTCAATGTTCGATCACTCGACTCTCCGCCAAGAATTTGAACAGGTTGGAGGTGGTTATATGTTTCCTAGTTATCCATAGTAGTGATGATGAAGCCGACTTTATGATTAGCAAGAAACTGTAAGTGCTCAGCAGAAAACATACCATTTTTAGGACAAAAATTATTCTTGCCTTTCAGCCTATACTTTGCCATTCTGGTAAAACTGTAGTAACTAATAGTTGCAGCAGATGGTTAACACATATTAGCCGAGACAAACAGGTGACGTATTAGAAAAAATGGGGGCTGAAAAAAGGCTTCTTGCTCTGCAGGTCTTTAGAAAGGATATCAGAAAACTAGACATAAACAGCCTTTTTATGAAGAGATATAACTCGAACACTGCTCGTCCTGTTTTTCGATGTGTTCTACAATATCAGTTGGTGAGACGAATGCTCCTTGGAGACTCGCAAATGTTTCGAAATGATTACAACCCATCATAGAAAATATGTAATATCTCACTTACTTCGATTAGCCACTGTTCCACCACCGCGTTTTGGTAGATACACAGGTATCAAGGCTAAAACAATAGTTGCTGCTAATAGCAAACAGAATATCCCGAGACAGCCTAAAGCAATTAATGGAACTGCGGAAAACCATCTGCGATTTTTTCTAGAAGAAATTACAATATTAGTTACTTAATCCCTGCTTGAGCTAACGAGTTACATACATTGTAGTTGATGATGGCAGTGCAACCGACACTGTCTCAGCTGATGGGTTCCCATGATACATTTCTCCAGGCGTATGTTTGTATTTATATACTGTTCCTGAAAGTTGATTATTTATAGCCGATAAGAAATTACTATTGAAACAGTCGACATACGTTTGCTTTTCTGCTTTAACAATACTTTCATAAACTACTCGTGTTGAAATTGGATATACTCGTAGCTTTTATCACGTGATTGAAGAGAGTGAATTATAGATCGTCAAAATTGTTACCGCTTGAATCGCTTTCATTGCGTTCTGTATTTGGGTACATTCATTCACAAAAACGAAAAACGAAAAGTGATAAATGATAGAGAGTAAACAAGATATTATAATCATAGCAAATAAGTAGTCTAATGTTAACCTCTTGAATGCCGTTATTTTTCCTTTTTCGCGTCCAAAGGCATGCATATGAAAAAAAACGATTAGATATCTCTCTTTGCGTTCTGTTGTTTTTGTGACATGTGTATGTAAGTATGAGTCATATCTTCTTTCTATCAATACACACAGTTATTGATACAATTCTCGCTATGTATATCAATAATCGCTTCTTTGAATAACAAAACTAAGCGTAAATAATCAAGTGATTATCAAAAAGATGTCAAAAGATTTTTATGAAAATAGTTTAGAATATGACCTAATTGATAATAAAGAAAATGAATCGATAGATGATAATGATGATGATATTGACGATAATGATGATGATATTGAGATGCAAATATTACCTGATTCAGACGAAGATACTTTCGTAGAATCGATAGACAGGTGAAATAAAATGTCAGTTGCTTGGCTGATCCGAGTTGTTCATAACTGACACCGACATGCCGGATATTGCAAACCACACAGTGCCTATTGAATCCTTCATAACAGGCCAGTTTTCTTTTTTCTCCTTGCAAACCAAAGAATATAATACTAAAAATAATTCAATCATTGGTGAACGTCTGTTTCTACAGATGAAGCTCGATCAGCCTTGTAAACATAACTTTATCTTTCCTCATAGCAATCTTTTCTAATAATTTCTACTAATTAAATAGAAATGACACATCGGATGAAGATGGCGACAAATGGCATTTAGTCACGGAAGCGGATGATGAAAGACCAAAAGCATTGCTACCTTTTACTGTTAGTCCAGGAGTGCGTTTTAGTGTTTCTGGAAATCCAAAGCCAGAGGAGTTTTTCGAAAAAACACTACCAGACACATTGTTTGATGAAATCACAAAATTTACCAATAAACGTGCTCAACTTTATTTATTGAAGGTCAAATCAGATAGAACTATCATCTGGAAACCAGTAAGAGTTTTGTGTCCAAGGAGACCTCTTTTACTGATTTCTTTATTTCATTCCTTCTAATTCTTCTCTGTAGGTGACTACACATGAAACAAAGGAGTTTTTCGCGATAATATATCATATGGGCAGTAATCGAACGCGTACACTTCAAGATTACTGGTCAACTGATCCATACAAAATTACGCCTATATTTCATTCGTCTAAATTTTTATCGCGTAATCGATTTCTAAGTATTTTATGGTGCATAAAATTTTTACTATTGAGATAAAATCTATTGTCCATCCAATAAAAGAACGGTATATGACTGTTTTTCGAATAACTTTCGATAGGAAAAAGCTAAAGAGCTTCAATTTTCAGCATTCGAAAGAGGAGATTTGGGGATATGTTTTCATAACCAAAAAATTTCCCAGAAGAGCTTTCTGGAACAGGTTTTCCAGGGGATCTTTGGGAAATTAGCTCGCGTGTAAAAATTTTCCAATAGGAT